CGAAAAATTATATTTATTTAATGATTAAATGTATAAAAATTGCAATCAAAATTACGTATATAATTTAATGTTTATATGTTAAAATGCAACTAAAAATAACATATACAATATACGGTTTAGACATAAAAATATATGCAAAATTCCGTATACAATATACTGATTAAACATAAATTTAGTGTTTTTTTGCATACAAAAAAAGTCGATTTTCAGTATTTAATATATGGAAATACTAATCAAAAATAACGTATACAATATACTGATTAGACACATAAAATCTATGTAAAATTACGTATACAATATACTGATTAGACATATAAATTCCGTATTTTTTTGCATACAAAAAAAGTTGATTTTCAGTATCTAGTATACGGAAATATTTACGAATTTATTATACTGTTTATCTACATTTATTATACGTTTTTAAACGTATTATTTCTGTATACTTTCCTTATACATATTATTTATAGGAAGGTCTATTGTATTACACTTTAGTTTTATTATTTCGTTTCTTTATTTTCTTTTCTTTTCCCTTGTTATCTTTTTATTTCTATTCTCTTATTTTATTAATAAACATCTTACTTTGAAATATAATTACTTAATATACCATGATTTATTATTTGTGAAACACTTGTATAAATCCTTCTATCTGAATATCTGAATTTAATCGTAAAAATACATTTGTAAAACATTAGGATTACTATGAAATTGAAAAGAAATAAATAACACTCTAATATCCCATCTAACAGTTGTAATTCACAAGAATTACACATTAACGATATATATTTGACAATTCAATTATACTGTATAAAATTATATATGTATTTATAATTTCATTTAAAAAAAAATGTTTTTATATTAAAATTGTAAACAAATTTATTTTATACCTCAAATGTGTGATAGGTTACACCGACTATACGGCTTAAAGTATGTGGCGTATTTTTTCAAATTTTTCTGTGGCGCATGTGACGATCATTTGTCGATCATTTCCAAAAAATGTACTATATGCTATCAAAGAAAGTTAAATTCTATTGGCTTACCGCGGATCTGCTCTTTTATAATGAACCGAATTATTATTAAAAAAAATAAAATGGAAAACGATAATAGAATTCCAAGATTAGATATTCTTCCAACTGAAGTTGTTATTGCCATATTTAAATTTTTATCGATTGTTGATAAATGTCAATTATGTCAAGTTTGTAAGAGATTTCGGTTAATAATTTATAATAATATTGAATTTTGGAAGTACCTTGACTTATCACCATTTGGAGAACGTCTTTCGAATGAAAATTTATTTATGATCGTAAAGACAAGATGGAAATCGACTATAGAAGGTCACAAACTTGATCTTAGTGGATGTCGATTAATAACTTCTCATGCACTTGAAAAATTAGTAGAGTTGCATTCGAATTTTCAAGAGATTCATTTAAACGTTGAACCTCGTTATGATAATTGGCGAAATGAGATAAGATACGATTATTGGATAAAACAATTATATTATAAGAAAAGTCCAACTTTCTTGAAAAATGATCGTCCAGGATTATATCAAAGATGGGAAATCACGAAACCCTCTTATATATGGCAATTTTCAAATAAATCCATTCAAACGGTTCTTACAGGATCTTTTAAAACTATAAAACAACTTTCACTTGGAAACCAAAGTTTACATCGTGAAACTGCTACATTGATTTCTAATTGTTCTCAACTGATTCGATTGGATTTAAGTGGAACCAATTTAGATAAGGTATCTCTACAGGATATTTTACAACGAGTAATTCAATTGGAATCATTGAAACTTTTAGAACTTGAATTGTCTCCCATGACTTTAATGATGATTTCACGATTTACAAATTTACAACAATTACATATTAGTGTACTTGACAAAAAAAATGTTGCTTCAAAAACAATTGCAGATATGTTAAAGAAGTTGAGGAAATTAAAAGATTTTAGGATGAATCAAGCGATGATTGGAGAAGTTGATAAAGTTGTTATCGAAGGATTATCATGGATCTTTTGCGATGGACCGATTGAAGATTCAACAAAGATTTTAGAAGAAGAAAAAATCAAGAATGGAGGAAGGAATATGGATCAAAATAGGTCACCACTTCAACATCTTGATATTTCTCCTAAACTTGATATATATCCAAGAAGTCGAGAAAGATCCATGCAAATCGAGCATTATATCACCATAAGTAATTCATCTTTATGGTCCTTGGCCGTTAATCATCCATTTTTAATTTCTTTGAGGTTAGTTAATGCTTATGCTATTAGTGCTGAAGGTGTAGATGGATTATTGTCATCATTACAATGTTTGGAGGTTTTCGAATTAAGAAGATGGAGAGGGACAGAATTAGAACCACTTCAAAAATTAACACCAAAATTTTGTCCTAAATTGAGAGAAATTGTATTACATGGAGTGGAAGTTGCAAATTTCAATGAATGGATTAAAGATGGAGAGTGTCAAGATGAAGGAAATCTAATGATAAAAAATAAAATTGGATTTCAAAATTTAGAAATCTTGGATTTAGTAGATGTTTCAACATTTTTTAAATTCCACGCTGATGTTATAATCAAAAATTGTGTAAACCTTCGTAAAGTGAGACTTGTACGCGTGGGAGATGTTAATTTTCAGGATGAAGAGTATAAACTTTCCCACCTCGATAATTTTATAAATGATTGTGGATGGATGGATGTCTAATAATATTGCGCCTTTTTTCCCCAATAAATTAAAATTTTTTCTAATTTAAGGAAAACTTTGGGGGATTTATTTTTAATCTTATCCATAATTTAAATGTTTGGTTAAGTTGATTTACAAATTGGGCCAACTAAATTTGGTATATCTTAATTGGATGGGAATTTTATGCTTGAAAAAGTTAGCCATGTGTGTTTACATAAATATTATGTGTAATTTTACTAGGATTATTTAGTATATGATAAATGTGGTAAATGATACATCAATATTGTCCAATTATTGTTAAATATTTCTACACGACTTTCAAAATTTGGTCTCATATTTCCCACAATTCTCTCTAGAGAATTTTTGTTCCAAAATTCCTTTTATTTCGTTTCAGGTTTTCTTTTTTTTATCACTTTTTTTCTAACTATTGTAGTAATAAGACATATCAACATGACTTTCTCAAGACTATCATCAACTTTAAACGCAACTTTTAATCGTGGCGGACTTTTACTTTCCCGTTCTTTTCGACAAGATATCGTTCGTCCAATAATTATTAATCGTGCTTTGTCTTCTAGTAAAACATCGTTAAATGCAATACCAACAGCATATGAATCAGATAAAGATTATTACGCATTGAAGGTTACGATTGATGATATTAGAGCAAAATATGGATTAAGAGGTGGTAATCGTATTAAAGACGCAAATCTTGAACAAAATTCTGATTTAGATTTGGAAGTTGATTTAACCTTGGCTGACGTCAAAAAGTTAGCTAAAATACAACAGTTATTGTCAAAAGCTTCAACGGACTTGTCTTCCTTAATTTCTAGTTCTTCCGAAAATTTTGAAGGAATTAATGATGACGATATCGTTATTAAAGCCAATGTGAAAAGATCTGTTTGGTTAGCCGAGGATGATGATGTTTCCGGTTATGCCGAAAATGCTATAAAAGCTTTTAAAGAGAATAAAGTTATTGGTAATGCTAACGCCTACGATTTGGATGATGGTAAAACCGAGAGCAACCCTGCTGGTTTCAGACAAGATTTATATAGTTAAAATTTTCTGCTTTAAAAAAAAAAAAGATTTTGGTATGTGATTTCTATTATATGGAAAATTCATTAATTAATAAAAGGATTCTGATTTTAATCTTTATCGATTTATTTGTCATTTTTTTTTTTTGTTAAGATAAAACAGGATGTAATATGAAAGATGTTTATACCTTTTTCCTTTTGTTTTTTGTATTTATTCAATGAAATTGTACTTATTTGTTATAGTTTTGTTTAGTAGGTGTTCTTTACCTTGTAAATATCTTGAAATATATATTTATATTTATATTTTATCGTGTTATAGTGCTTTTTTATTTTATTTATATTTATAATACTATAATAAAAACATTTATTTATTATTTTTTGCAAATCCCGCCTTAACTGAAATAAATTTAATTTACTTAAATAGTAATTTATATATTTTTAACAACTCATTATTTACAAATGATTCATAATTTAAAAATAAAAAAATTAAGGAATTTTTTTATTAAAACAAGCAAAAATCAAATCAATTGATTCTTTTAAAAAAGAAAAATTTATAAACATTTTAACAAACAAAAAATTATCTACAGAAAAAAAAAGCCTATATTAAAACCTCGTAATATTTAACAATATATTCTAAATATTTAACAAAAAAAAAAGTGATGGGAAAAAGGGGATGATGAGCAAAGAAAAAAAATGAATGGATATAAAAAATAATAATAATTGAAGTGTTTTATAACAATTTCTTGTAAAAAATAACATTATCATAAAAAAGATCAATTTATAAATTCTATAATTTTTTCTCTATTTTCTTATCATTTGATTCCATTGCATGACTTTTAAGACCAAAAAAAAAAATCGTGTTTGATTAAAAAATGAAATTACTACAAATAATAAAAAAAAATATACTTTTGAAAATGAGAAATACTATTTCCTAAAAGAGTACTATATACAATAGTCATTTTCTCATCTGTATGATTACATTACATAATATCTTATCTCGTTAAAAATTTTAAAAAAGTATGAAAAGATGAATTAAGTTTATTAAATAATAATAATAAAAAGAAATATTATTATATTATATACATATAATATATATTTTTTAGTTCATCATATCATCATCATCTTCTCTTAATTCTCCTTCTTCCAACTCATCATCTGCATCATCTTGACCAGGTTCATATTTAGGTATTGAATTTGCCACTCTAGGCGGAGATTGTAATACTGGTTCATGTTCAACCTCCTTTTTGATAAAAGCCGATACTGCTTCTACTTTCACAGACGTTACTTCTTTAATTTGCGATTTCAATGCTTGAGTATTCGTTTCATTTTTTTCGCTCTTGACTTGCGGTTTAATTCGTAATTTTTGTAAAGCAGGAGCCACGGGCTTCGAAGTAGGCTCAACTTTCAATTCTGCTGTAAAAATTAAATCAAAAGAATGTTAATAAATCGTATCATTTATTCAATATGAACAAACATACGTATATTTTACGAAAAACGAACCTGTTGATTTACCAATATCAAAACAATCCGTTGTGGGAGAATCATAATACTTGACACTATCAAGTGATAATGGCGTATTAGCATCACTTTCTAAATTAGTGTGCTTCTCCAATAATTCACTTTTTAGAGAAGAATGTGGTGACCTCGATCCAGCCTCCGTTAAAAATCTCTCAGGTAACAACTGGTCCTTGTACTTTAATAAATTTTTGTAGCAACCGACAAGAGTAGCATTGACGACACCAGCAGCAGCCGCAACATCTTTATGTTCTACTTTTATTAACTCTGCATCGTCTGGAATATTATTGTAAGCTTTCGATCTAGCATCATTCCAAGTGTTTATAGATAACCATATTGAAGCGGCACCAACCGACACCGGACATTTTCCGGTGGTTATATTTAATTCACTAGCTTGTTTGTAAACATGAATAGCTGCATCCAGTATATGTGTTGGAAGTTTAAGATTTTGACACCATCGTTTCTATTAAATTTTTAAAGAAAATTTTAAATTAATCCCTAGAATAAACGATTATAAATGTGAAAAAATTTTTTTTAAAAAAAAAAAAGTATAGCATACCAAATATTCAGCAGAATCAACGGTTCTCAATGAAGTTCCATTGGTTCCACCGCCTAACCCATTACTTTCAAATACTTTTAGCATTAAACGATAATACGTTCCAATCTCTTGCTTTCTAATTGAAGCAGCATTACAGATCTCAACAAAAGTGCGTGGAAGACCATTTTGACGACATAAAATAAAGAGGATTGAAGCAAGGATATGATTGCGTTTACGATGAGGTTGTCGATTTTTCATTTCTTTGGATTGTTTGACAATTTCAAACACTCTTAAAGTTTCTTCCCAAATATTACGTGGGATTTCAATATTCTTTTCCCACTCGATGTTATCTAATTCGAGCTTTTCGTCGTCTCTCATTGTTGATCTACGTCTAGGAGGACAAGGTCTTTGTGGTCTAGTACCATTGCTGGATGAACTTGCAGATTCTGCTGCAATAGTTTTAACCGATGATGAAGTCATCTCAGTAGGTGAACTGCAGATCATATTGTCCTTTTCTTTGTTGCTCCCGTTCGAAGAAATAGACCCTTTTCGTGAAACAGAACTCGAGGTTGAAGCTTTACGCGAAAAAATACCATTATTGGTCGTAGGTGAGTTCGGTCGCGACTTATTGATAGGAACGTTCGTGTTATTAGCGGTAGAGTTTATTTCTTTTTTAACATCCTCGATATCCTTTTGGTGATTAGATACATTTGGCGTCAATGTAGATGGGGGAGATGAATAGTAACCGACGGTTTGTTTATTATCACCATCTTTGGTCACATTAGTTATACCACTTATGTTGGAAGGAACGGAGATTTCGATTTCTTCTTCAACTTCTTCCTCGGTTTCCATATCATCACTATTCCACAAATAGTTTTTACGTTCAGGTGGTTTGTTTTTCTCATCCTCACCTTCGGAACCATCATCCATAGCTAAATCACTATCTGAATCATTTCCAACAGGTAGATTCTTAATAATTTCTTTCTTATCATTAACTTTTTTAGGGGCAACACGAGTATTTGAGATATTCTTTTCTAACTTCACTACATTTTGTTTCTTTTTCGTTTTAGATGCAGCCTTCTTTTCTTGTACGTAAGAAGGTTTCTCTTTTTCCTCTTCCACCTCTTCCTTGATTGAAGACAAACTTAAAAAATCATCCTCATGCAAGGACATTTCTTTGACTCCTGTTGTAACCAACTGGTCATCTTTTTCCTTCTTTAGATTTTCGACCTCAACATTATCATTAATGGCATTGTTATCAACAGGAGCAATATCCTCTTCAACCATAGGTTCCTCTTTAATTCTGATTTCATTGTTTATGATGGCATCCGGTTCAACAGCAGGTGTAACTGCATTGTTAACTGTTGGTTCGATGTTATAACTATTATCCGGATTTGATGGGTTGGTCAATGATAATAGCAAACTAACTGCTTCTTCTCTTTGAGAAATCTCATCAACATCAATGTCCATACTATTTGATTGTGACTCTTCTTTATCCTTCTCATCATGACGAGTAACATCTTCCATCACAATATCATCTGCAGGAAAAACACGTTCATCTTTTTTACATCTTTTATTAATATTATCATCATCTAAATTGTCCGTTGAAGATGGTAGCGGAGAGTATTCTCTCTTACGACCTTGGTTTAATTGTGGTGCAACATACTTCACGGGCATAAGAACAGGTGAATAATTATGAACTTCTTCGGACACTTTTGAAGAATCTTTAGCCTTCCTACCACGCTTTGAGGCGGAAGAAGCCGAACCACCAGAGATACTATTTTTCCTAGACCTAGAAGTCTGCGGAGGTTTTGTTGATGCAATAATATGATTATTCTGTGGATTGGAATCATTGGCTATGTTTGGAACCACATATTGAACAAACACGGGGGTTTCACTTGAAGAACTTGATGGTAAAGATTGTGTGGATGGGGCAGGTTGTTGAATTGGTATCGGTCCAGCAGGTACGATAGGTCTTGGTTGTTTTGAACGACCTTTCTTTTTTACGGGTAGATTCTGTTCAATTGCAGGCTTCTCCACATTATGAGGAACAGGATTATTATTAACAGGAGCGCCACCATTAGGAGGGAATGACATATTAGTGGTGGAAGCTATAGGGGTGCTAGGCGCCGGAGAAGAAGATCTAGTGGAAACCGATGAATTGCTTCCTGAATGATGATGTGAAGGGGGTGCCAAATGAAACGGTGAAGTTTCACGGTTTTCGGACAAATACTGCTGAGAATTATGAGAATTGTGAGAATAATGATTCGGTTGTGGCTGTTGCGGTGGCAAATGCAACTGTGGTGGAGTAAGAGAACGGGGAATGTTTTGTGGTGGAACCTGTAAAAGAGGAGGTTGACTGTACATTTGTTGTTGGGGTTGAGGATGTTGTACATGTAGATGTGAAGGAGGTGGGGGGGGGGTATTGTTGTTGCATATGACCATGAAGTTGACTTAAGTTATTATGCTGCTGCTGCTGCTGCTGTTGTTGTTGTTGTTGTTGTTGATGATGATGTTGATGATGATGTTGATGTTGATGTTGATCATTCCTTAATAAATTTCTACCATCCATAACGTTCGGACCCGAGGATGTCACATCACGACGAAGCGAATGATCGATTAACGGGGCATTACGAACAGATGATGGATCATGAGAGGGAGTCACATGAGATGAAGCGGATGACATTATCGGAAGAACAGATTTACCAGAGTAGACCTGAGGATTATATTGACGAAGAGAATTATAAGAAGGTGCATGTGAAACGGTGACAGAAGGTTGATGATCATCGTTATTATTATTATACATATTAGAAAGATTATGAGGTGGTTGTGAATATCCTTGTGACACTTGTTGCTGCGGTAACTGTTGAGGAAGATGATGTGACATCTGTAACGAATGAGGCGAATGAATTTGATGGTGGTGGTGAGAATGTGTGGGATGTGATTGGAGTGATTGTGGATGAAGATGTGACATTCGTTGCGAAGTCGCCACCTGTTGTTGTTGCTGCTGTTGTTGCTGCTGTTGTTGCTGCTGTTGATGTTGCTGTTGATGTTGCTGTTGATGTTGCTGTTGATGTTGCTGTTGATGTTGCTGTTGATGTTGCTGATGATGTTGATGTTGTTGCTGATGTTGCTGTTGTTGAGGTGGCGACTGTTGCGGCTGATGCTGCGGCAGAGTCGATTGATAGTGACCGTGTTGGGATACTTGAGGAGCAAGCTGATTTATTTGATGGTTAATTTGATGAGGCTGGGGAGGTATCTGATTCATTTTATGATTTACAAAATATCGTTGAGTTGGATAAGATGAATGATATGAATTGATCTCTGATATCGAAGGATGATGCTGATGAGTATGTTGTGGTAATGAATGAGATGAATGCTGTTGTGAATGTTGTGGTACATGGAAATGAGGTTCATCGTTGGACGTAGAATTAAATATCGTATGATAATTTTGAGTCGCTTCGAGCGGTGGCAAAAGAGGTCTCTGAGTTTCCGATTTAAGTTGAGAATGAATATTTTGTAAATATTGTGGTTGTTGCTGTTGTTGTAACGGAATCATTCGAGATGGAGGTGGTTGTTGTTGTGACGGAGGTAATGGTAATGGAGGAGGAGGTTGTTGTTGAGGTATAGGAGGTGGTGATTGATGAAGCAATTCACTTATAGGAGGAAGCGTAATTTGCGGAGGTTGTCGTGAAGGAAGCGGATTACGATCGATATGATGAAGCGAGTGATGTTGAGGATTATGAGGAAGGTGAGACGATAAAGTTTGTTGATCCATTGCGGGTTGTGTATGCGTTTGTTCTTTAAATTGACGATGATCGAGGTGAAAGTTAAGTTGATATTTTCTTGGCTTTGAGGGATCCTCTAACACGAACGCATAAGTATTATTATTGCTGTTAATTCGTTCCTGAGTCATAGAAAAAAAAAAAAAAACTATTTTTTTTTTTAAATAATGATTATGAGTAAAATAATGACTTTGTGTTTCTTCCTCTTTTTATTTTATTTTTTTTCTCTTTATAAATAAAAGAAAAAAGGGGGGAAAGAAGTGTGATAAATTTTAAGGGTTCCTTTTTTATATATATATATATACGTTTTTAATTTAGTGAGAAAAGTGAAATAATATATACGATACACATATATCAAAAAAAAAAAAATAAAATAATTTTTTTTTTTTGAAAGTATTTTTTTGGGGGAATTTGAAAGTATTTATAGTGGAAAAAAAATTTTTTTTTTTTAAGGCTTAATTTAAATAAAATAAATGTTAAAAACTTCTGAAGTCAAACAATCAAAATAAATTTGAAAGAAAAAAAATGGAGGAGGATGAATGAGTGAGCGTATTTATAGATGAAGGAGGGAAAATTCAGGTGTTACATGAAGTCGCAGTTGTAATGCTTAATTTGGATAGGGGCGTATCAATAAAAATTTTTTTATACTTTTTTATACATGGTATAAAAGGATTAGCGTCAGAATTAAATTCGAAGGTTGATTATTTTTAAAATGATTATTTATATTAAACAATTACTTCAATAACTGCAAGGAAGTAAAATTATTTATGTACGGCAAAAGCTACATATTTATTGTGTTACAAATAAATAGAAAAACATAAATAAATAGTATAAAATAGTAAAAAAAAAAAAAATTTAAAAAGAGTATGGTGTTGTATTTATATAAATTAATAAATTAATAATCTTGATTAGTACTTGATTTAGAGGATAGGTGGGTTACTTTGATTCTATTAGAAGTAAAGTCTATGTGAAAACAACTGTTTTGATAGTTAGCACCATATGCACCTGATGTTGTATAAAGTATCTATTGGACAAAAATGATTAAAGCTCTTGTTTTTTTTCCTCTGCTTTTCAAGGCATGTTGTCACGCATAATCCAATCATCATGTCACCTCCATAAAAAAAAAGGTTTCAACAAAGTAACGAGATATAAAATCAAACAAAAGAATAGTGTAACACAAAAAAAGTGGAGAATGATGAGAAAATTTTCAAACATAAAAGGAATTTCAATGATTACAATTATGTTGTACCAATTTATTCTTATAAATAAAATAAAATACAATTATTAACTTGAATATATTGTGTATACAAACAATTAATAATCATCGACTCATAGGCCTAAAAGAATATTGATAAAGGATGAAGCAAGTAACCAAATAAAGTGGGTACCAAGAAATGTCGGAGAGATAAATCCATATTTAAGGATTAGACTGTCTTTTACTGTATTGCAAATCCGATGAATCAATCAATCAATCAATGAAGCCTCACTTGTTTTAATACTTCAGACTCAACCTTCTTTTAATATATAATGGGATATTTGTGATTTTCCTTTTGCATGTTTACGATGTTGCGATGTTTTTCACATATAAAAAACGTGTTTTTTCGTCTTTCATTTAATCTCCCGATTCTTTATTCAAAATATAAATACTCTCAATGTCCCCACCTGAATGTTTACGGATTATTAATTTTTTTTTCAACCCCCTCGTCGCTTGTTCACGAACGTTTTTTAACCGTTGAATGTTAGGGTTGAACCACGGTCCGTTTGATAGTTGTCAAGGGGTGATTTTTCATTTCTTTATTTTTTTATCTTTATTTATTTTTATTTTTATTTTTTTTGCTCTTTAAGACATGTTATTTTCTCGCTAGTCTTTTTGCCTTGGTCATTCAAATGTCAAAAATTCGACTACACTTATATTTTGTTCTAAACAAAATGATGATCGCATATTAAAAGTGAAGATCTCATTCTGCCTTCCCAATTGGGGAATGTGATTTTTTTTCAGAATACCTTCAAGATAAGCAAAAAAAAAATCATCAAACTTATTTTAGTAATCCGTTTACTTTTTCCTTTTTGTTGCTAAGCAACAAGTATCGTCCTTTGTAAACATTAATAATCATCTTTCCTCGGCTTGGTTGTTTACACTTGTAAAAAAATTTCTCGGCTTAGCGAGTGTAAAATATTACAAGACGTTGCTGCGCATTTACTCATCATTTTTCCTTTTTTTTTTTTTTTTTTAAAAAAAAAAAATAATTATAATAGAAAATATTTTCGTTTTGTTGATGTTTACAACTTTAGAAATGAAGTAAAAATAAAAAAGGTAAGGTTCGTGACACGAATATGTTGTGTTGTTTATGATGTTTTGCCACACTATAAACCTTATATAAACACCATGCAAGTTTTCTAGTTTTCTCATGCATTTAATTTAGACTTTAAACTACTCTGTATAGTCTTGTTCAATAGTCTCAACCATGTAAACGATCATATTTTGCATATTTTATTGTACAAAGAAATTTTTTTCATAACCTTTTGTTTGTGTCACGAGTGACCACAAAATCCATCACAAAATCAAAATCAAAAATAAATTATTTATGAACAGGCGTGATGATATACGCGTTCGTCATTGTTTACCTTTTTGCAATTTGGGATTTTTTTTTTAAAAAAAAAGTCCTTCTTTATAAATGTTTTGATTAAGGGGGCTAATTTCTCTTTCCTTTGAGGGAAATGACGTCCAATGAATTTCGGATCGGCCACCATTTTTGTCTTTAAATGGCCTTTGACCATTGACGTCATGGTGCCTTTTCGTCACACCTTGACACAACATAAACCAATTTTTTTTTTAAATAAATAAATATATTTCGATTTTTCTGACTTTCCCATTGCCTTCTTACCCTTACATTTTGGGAAATGGATAGTGTCAGACAACAATCATCTGCTTCCACTTCTTCCACACCCTCCTCCTCTGCTGCTGCACAAACGAGCGTTGGTGCTGATCTAACTTATGTTCCATACTCTTCCGAATTACAACTTCCTGGAATCATGAGCTTAATCGAGAATGATTTATCTGAACCTTACTCCATATATACCTATCGTTATTTTATAAACAATTGGCCTAATTTATGTTTTATGGTAACGTTCGTATCTTTTTGAAAAAGTTCTTTAATTAATTAATTAATTAACCATTGTCCTTTTTTTTAAAAAAAAAAATAAAAGACAATGGATCAGAACAAGTGCATTGGAGTTATAATTTGTAAGCTGGATCAACATCGCGAGGCTTTACGTGGTTATATTGCCATGTTGGCCGTAAAAAAGGAGTATCGAAAGAGGAAGATCGGTTTGTAATTTTTTTTTCTCTCATCCTTTTTTATAAATATTTATATTAGCATTTCATAGGATCTACGTTGGTGAGGATGTCTATAAATGCCATGAAAGAACAAGACGCTGACGAGGTAATGATGACATAAGATTTCGAAATCTCTTGATAAACATGTTTTTATGAATTAATTATCATTATTTATTTAATAGATTGTGCTTGAAACAGAATATACCAACCTTGGGGCACTTTCACTATATCATAATTTAGGATTCATTAGAGATAAACGATTGTATAGATATTATCTTAATGGAGTGGACGCATTTCGTTTGAAATTATTTTGCAAAGGCGAACGAGTCGTTAATGAGTAGCGTGATTTTAAGTCATAACGTGACTTTCTTGTGCTCACGTGTCTCGGCAATGTAAATAGTCCGGAGCTTTAGCGAAGGGACTATATACTTTTGCGCTTTGTTACACGAGACGTGCTCGTTGTATAAACATAAATAAACCTGATCGGTTAGAATCATTTTATGGGATTAAATCCAAATACTTTGGACAAAAAAAGTCCAATAATAACGCATATTTCGGATTTACATTCTTGAACCTTTCTATTTTTTTGAAGTTTATTATTTGAAACCCAATTTATTACCCAAAATTATAGTGGTTACACAAAATATTTCATCAGAAAGTAAAGCATGTGGCAAAAAAAAATATCTTTTCCTGACCAAAATAATGTGTGAATAAATGTGAGGTTTTAGCGAACAAACATCAAGCAAATTTTTCATCCTTATATTATTAAAATTTCTAGACATTCGTTTCATTAAATTTCTTGAATAATTGTTAATCATACTATCAACAATTGCTAAAGTATTATTTTTTCCACGTAGAAATTAATTATCGATAACAAATTTCATTTCAATCCATAAAGGAATGCTTTTTAATTTATAAAATTTTTTGATAAATAAAAGGATATTTTAAAGTAAAAAAATGGTTTAAAGTACATATTGATTTAACAAAGATCATTTTTCATCATCATAATAATGAAAGAAGCAAACCTTTTTGTTTTCTCGATTCAAAATAAAAAAGGCTTCAGTCAGATGCTAATAGATTTTAATATATCAATAAATTCATCCGTCTCTCTCAAGAAATATAAATATGTATGTGAATATTTTCTGTCAATTTTTTTTAAAATAAAAGATTATATAAAAATAAATATATCCTTTTTTGCGCTTTGTTACACGAGACGTTTTATAAATACGTCGATCGATTTGATCCAATTTTTTTTTTTCCGAGTCTTTTCCCTCCGCTAAATATTTATTGATTTTTTTTTTTTTTGAACCTTCCTTCTGTACTTTTAACAACCAGATAAAGCACTTTTTTTTAAACCCGTCTCTCCTTTCCATACACATCATTTACGACAACCACTAATAATCTCTTCACCTACCCATTTACATTCCTTTGTTCTTTTAAACAACGAAAGATCAAGAGATTTGAAACGATAATTTATTTGATTAATTAATTAATTCATTCATCATGAATCAATTTTTCTCATGCATGACATTTGGTCTTTGTCTTTTATGGTAAAAATTACGGAACCCTTGTTCTTCAATTGATTTAAATTAATTAATAAAATTTTTTTAATTAAAAATTATTAATCATTATTATAACATGTACTACATTTATTTTTAGCTTATTTATTGTAGTGATACATGCGGACACAACAGATTTTACAGAAGAAAGCAAAACAAATGTTGATATGGTTAATGACGATAGTATAGAAAGTCAACCACAATCACAACAGCAACAACAATCGCCTCAAACTCCGAATGATTCAAACTCTTTGTCTTCTACAACAATTTTACCTAATAACAACACTGGATTTGTCGAGTATATCTGTCATCCGACTGGCGAATGTGAGCCCTGTGAAGTACTCGAAACGGTAATTATTGCTCCTCATACATACGTATACATATCATTACATACATTGATGTTTGTATAAAAAAAAGATGACGATTATTAAAATGAATCATACGTTCTTAGAAAACCGAAAAATATTGTGATGAATATGGTAATAAAGAACCCGTTGAGTGTCATTATGTTCTTGATGATCAATCATCCGGGAATGACACTTATCCAAATCGAGGTCCTCTACCGGAGTTTCGATCTTGCAAAAGAGTCAAAAGATTCGAGAGAACAAAATACTTTGAATTCCAGGTAATGCCTTAGGAAGTAAAAGGTAATCGTTGTTACCATTATTAAAAATTTTTTAATTTATCTTCTTTTTATAGTTTATCAATTTCTTTGTCGCGGGTACGTCATGTTCAATATTGCTATGGAGAAGAAAGAAGCTTGCGGAAGATGGATATAGAAGATTGGCGAGAAGGATAAGGGGCAACACTTTATGATGAATTAAATAACATCATTTGCCCTGTTACTTGGCATTTTTATTATTTAGTTTTCATAACACTTTCTTTTTTTTTATTTCATTTGGATTATGTAGAGATAAGGTATAATACATGTAACATAATAATATATTAAAGAATAAAAGTCATTTAAAAACTTAAATAATCGAACGGTCGGAGCATTAAACTTGTAGGGCTTGTGGCAAAATTTCCCCGCAAGGACCAATGCTATTATTACAAAAAAAAGAAACTATTTAATATTTTATAAATAAAGAATTACTAAAACAAAAACAAAATAGGAGGGAATTGAACAAACAATTTAAAGTCGCCATTTCCAGTATTTTCAATGTTGAAGATCGCAACTTTTCCACCACGTGATCTGACATACTCGGAATATCCAGCCGCAGGGTATACGAAACCACTAGTTCCGATAACCAACAGTAAATCACACCTTTCTAACTCGACCTGAATCTTGCTCGTAATCATCGGATCCAATATCTCATGAAACCAGACTACATCAGGTCTTAACAATCCTTTACATTTTGTGCAAGCAGGAAGTTTTTCGATGGGAAGATCAATGTCGAACTTTGAACTTTCGGTTCCTTTTAATCCCTCGCAGATTGGGAAATCGCGATTTTCTTCAATATCGCCACATTGCATACAACGAGTTCTAAATAGGTTTCCATGCATTTCAATGTAATTCTTAAGGTTCGACGATATTCCATCAACGTTTTGAGTTATAACGGTAAATGTTTGAGTTTGTGGGTTTTGAGAAAGTATTTTGTTTTCAAAATCCACCAAAGCCTTATGTGCCTTATTCGCTGTTTTTTGTAATACTAATCCTCGACGATAATTATAAAATTCCCAAATTCGCGACGGATTGCGTTTAAATGCCTAAACAAGAAAATTTTTAATTTGTAATCGATTTTTTAAAAAAAAAAAGATTGTAGCTCACACTAAGGGTTGCAAGTTCGGTTGCTTTGTGATTTCGCCACCAGCCACCTTCACCGCGAAACGTCTATAATAAAATTGACCATAACAATTATAATGTTAATATAAAGGGTAAAACACCTTTTATAAAAACTCTTATTTTTAGAAGTTAGACAAACCGGAATTCCGCTTTCTGCGGAAAGTCCTGCTCCGCATAAAGTGGCAATATGTTTGGCCGACTTCAAAGCTTTAAAAGGAATAAAGATTTGAATATATTGTGAATGAATATTAAAATAATCATTTTTTACAACATAATTTAACCTTGATGAAAGGCTTCATAACTAGTCGACATTTTTTCTTTTTGCTATACTAAAATTGATTAAACAAATGGATGGTTTTAGATTTTTATACTTTAAAACACATTTTTGGAAATGATCAACAAAATGATGCCCTTTAAAAAGGTTATCGAATTTACAAAGAAAAACCTTATTGATTCGTTGATGCGCTGCCATATAAGTTAATTGAATTACTTTTGAGAATCTTTCTCTCTATTAAAAAAAAAAGTTTACTTTCTCCAAACATTACATAGTTTTGTTTACATTCTCTAAATGGAATGATCAGATAGAATCGGTATCTTGTATGAAATTCGAATATGGACGTCGGAGTTAAAGATAAAAATGGAATATAGCCAAATTTAGCTATGCTTTACCATTAATAATTTTTTTTTAATGAAAGTCACTCCATTTTATTTTAACCAAATAATCATTTCATACAATAGAAATCAACGTTAGCCATTACATTTTCTTTGCATCTTATCAATCATGTCGATTCTTTAACAAAAAAAAAAGCATTATCAAAATGCAAAAAGAATTTTTGATTATCTTTTTTCAAATTTTACTAAATATATGAGATGTTTAATCATTATTGACATTTATTGGTTTAACTTCTGGTAGAGTAATATTTTGAGGTACTCTCTACCTAATTTATGTGGTAACATTAATTTATTAGAAAATCATCTTTATTTGTAGAAAGATTTCTCAAAAATCTTTGCTGTTGTGAGTACATATCAATAATTTTTTTTTTTTTCAAAAGTTTTAAGATAATTGAAAGGATTAAAACTTGTTTTAAATTCAACTCCCCTATGATTTACAATTGTAAAAAAACTCATGATGAATATCGTATGTAACATGTGCCCTTTAATAATTTTTTGGTTCAGAAATGACGTCATTTCCTAAATCTCCTAAATCTTATTTTTTTTTTTTTTTTGAAAGCAACTTGATGCTAGGCCAGAATTTTTAAACATTCTACATTTGAATGGATAACTTTTTTCGTTTAGAATATTCTATGTAGGACTTATTGGTATCATCAAAAGAAAACTTTTTATTTATTATATAAATCTTTAAATATCTTCAGCAAATGATCTCAAATTACATCTATTAAATTGAAATTGATTTATTTTATATGATACTAGCACCATCACAAGTACCAAATCCGACTCCAGTAATTTAATTAACTGGAACTATTGTTGTATTTCGAAGAAAGGTTTGTTTGGAATTGTGTAGAGATGCTGTTTCAAAAGATTTTAAGATTACAGGTATGGTTGGATTTTAGATCATAAAGCATTGCAAGCAATGCAATATTACCAAAATAAATGAATTCGTAGTACGTAAAGAAAAATATTCCGTGACCAATTGATGCAAACTTCTTGCATAGGAAATTTCCACAACTAAAGTAAGGTATAGTAAGTAGTCCCCTTGACTTCTTGTACCCACAATGATATCAGTTTCGCAATTGATCACTCCAATTTCTCATCATATAACTTAATTCTCCTTTGTAATACTATTGAGGGTCGATAGGCATTTCATAGGATAAGATCTTTTCATCGATTAAAACGATAATAAACAAAACTCAAGATAAAACTTCAAGTAATATCAAGCGATACACCACTTAGAACAGCGTTGGGCAATTGGACAATTTACAAGTTTTTGGATGTCCAATAAAATGATCGGCGCATGCGCCATAGACAATTCTTTTCTTTTCGAAAACCGACCATATAATCGGTGTAACACATTCAGACTGCATCATAAATAAACAACAATAAATCTTTTATTTTTCCTTTGGAAAAAAAAAAAATGACTAGTATTCCACCTAATTACACTTTATATATTCGAAATCTAAACGAAAAGACCAATAAAGATGGTATTTACACTTGTAATCATTATCATGCTTCATGGAATAGACTTTTTTAAATATCTTATTATTATTTGATTAGAATTGAAAAGGTCTTTATACTCCCTGTTTTCGGCGTACGGACGTATCATTGATATTGTTGCTTTGAAAACAATTCAAATGCGCGGACAAGCCTTTATCGTCTTTAAGGAAATTCAAAGCGCTACTTCTGCCATGAGGGGGCTTAACGGTTTCAACTTTTATGATAAACCAATGGTGAGTATTCTGTGTTTTTATTTTATATTTGTTCTTTTTGAATTTGCTTTTTTATCTCTCTCTCTCTCTCTCTTTCTCGTTCTTTTTCTTTTTTCGTTCTTTCGATATGAAGCTTTTTTTTTTAAAGACTTTTTTTTTAAGAAAAAAAAAGTCTTTATTGTGCCATAAAGGCTGATATGATAATTCTTTCTTTTCTTTTATTTAAATCCTCCTAATTATTATAAAGGACGATTTCAAAAAAAAAAAAAAAAAAAAAAAAATTAATTAATTATGGAGGAGTATGACTATTTCTTAAATAAAGAATCCAGCTGACCTGTTGGTTCTTCTTTCTTCTTTCTTCTTTTTGTATGTATGAATCATAATGCCGGATTTTTTTTTTGCAAAAAAAAAAAAATATGGATAAATAAATGAATCTTTTATATAGCATATTGAATACGCAAAAGGTAAATCGGAAGCCATTGCAAAATTAGATGGTACGTGGAAAAGGCCTGGTATCGCAACGACGACGACCAGTGCCAGCGCTTCACGCACACAGGCTTATGGTCAACCCGTTTCATCACCTGCACAGAAACGACAACGGGAAGAAGAAGGTAAGATGAACTCATTTAAATGATGACGATCCTAAATACGATCACCGTGATCTTAAAATGTGATCTTCTCTCTCAAGACATTTCAGATACTAAAAGAGCGGCAAACGGAGGGAAAGAAGATAGGGAGTTGGAGTCAGAGATTGGTAAATAATATTAATGAGGGTTTGGTTTGGAATTGATTTGTTGTTAATGTTGATTCCCTCATTTCTCACATTAATTAGAAGAGGAGGAGGAAGATGAAAATGCTCCAGAAGTCACCTCAAAAGGAGAGATGGAACTTATCAATAGGATATTGTATATACAGAACTTACCACCGGACGTTACGGATGAGATGTTAAGCTTTTTGTTTCAACAGTACGCTATATTGATTTAAATCCTTTCTTTACATCTTTCTTATGATAGAAAATTTCGAATTAACGTGTTATCAAACCATTGTTTTTTTTTAAAAAAAAAAGATATCCCGGTTTTAAGGAAGTACGTCTCGTTCCTGGTAAATCGGATATTGCTTTTGTGGAATATGAAGCCGATCATCAAGCGGCTGTAGCAAAGGATGTACTTGATGGATTTAAGATTACTCACGATAAGGAAATGAAAGTGACATTCGCAAAGAGATGAAGAAAATGGGTGGTTGTGTTTTACAAAAAGAAAAAATAGATCGCTAAAAATTAGAATTGTTTTTAAAGGTGGTAAGCAGGAATTTTTTTTGTTTGGTCCTCTTCTCCCCCTTTTTTTTTTGTTGTTAAATAATATCATCAAAAGTAAATAAAGTAAATAAATAAATAATTTTTTTTTTAAATTCAAATCAAGTGTCAATGTACCCATGTTGTGCAATTATGCATTCATATATTAAGCAAAATAAAACAAACATTTACATTAGTACAACAGCAAAGACAAATTTATCTTTTTAATCCAATCACAAATAAGATAAATTTTATTATTATGACGAAACGAAAGTTAAAATAAAAATAAAAAATGAAAATATTAAAAAAAAATATATATATATAATATATTTGTGTAATAAAAAAAAAAATAAAAGATTCTTCCTTTTCTTTTTCCTTTTTCTTTAGTACCATTAAATTATTTCACGTTTTTCCGAATTTTTTTTAAAAAAATCAATCCTTCTAAGAAATAAAAATCTTTAATTAACAAAAAAATATATTTTTTTTCCTTTTCAAAAAAAAAAAAAATAAATAAATAAAAAAAAAATAAAAAAAAAAATCCCTAATAAAATAATAAATAACCCACCACCCTCTTTCCATTGAAAAAAAAAAAATAAAATAAATGTATGAAATAATCTTATATATTTATATAAAAAAAAATTTAATATTTATGAGAAATGATGTATATATGTAAAAGAATAGACCAATAGAAAAAAATAAAAATAAAAATAAAAAAAATATAAAATAAAATACAATGAAAATGAGGTTTCATTTGATCAAACTTACTACGTTGTGAAGGAAGTTAATAAATACACTTTAATATGGGATAGGAAAAATTTTTTTTTCGCAAATTTGGTCACTTGAAAACACTTCTTTTTTTTTGCTTTCTTATTGAATGAAAGAAACCTTTGAAAATATTATATCAAAATAGAGGAATAAAGAAAACTTGCACTCAATAAAAGAAATCCAAAATCTACATCTTTGATCCACTCGCCAATAAAAAGGACATTTGTATATATAATATGTATATGTATGTATATATATGTATGTATAATATATAGAGAAAAAAAATATATAGTGTGATAATGAAAAATACAAATTTATAGTTGTGCACCCGAACTGCCCTTTCCCAATATCCTTGCGATCCTCGGATTTGTATATAATACTATTAATTATTTCCTACAAATGATTCAAATTCAAAAATGTATTAAAGCAAAAAAATTATAGGCATTAAAAAAAATTGAAAAAATTTTTTTGATTCAAGTGAAATCTGTTAAATTCGAAATTGATAATATTGTTGGGTCCCCTTTTTTTTTTTTAAAAAAAAAAAATCACCGTACTGCCGACGTACTTAACGGCAGATTATATGAATGAAAATAAAGAAAAATTTTCATGAACTAAATGCAAAACCAACGAAAAAAATCCCCCCAATCAAATAAATATAAATAATTTATCGCTCACCTGATCCATTTCATAAACTCACGACGGACCCAAATTCCCTTTTTCATAAATTGAAACAAAGAAATGGTTATTTATCAAATATTCCAGTTAAACCATTCATTTCTCTTGGCGTTGTTACTCTTAAGGTTTCAGCAATTGTATGTTGGTGATCAATAACGTCCGCATAATTTATTAACGAAAGTCGCTTTCGACCCTCATTCTCTACTAATGGAATAACCCGAGGATCCTCACCATTTGATTCTTGTTTTCCGGTTCCAGATTCACCGTCTTTTCCATCTCCATTATCTTCCTGAAGTTCCCCATTTTTCTCTGTTAGAATGGTAGTAGATATTTCTTCATTTACAAATGCTTCGGCTGCGTCATCTAAAACGGGAGGAATAGCGAGGTCGATAGCCTCGTGAACGCTAAGATGATCATGAAATTCGATATCCCTTTCAAATATCATTGAATTTCGTGAAGGTGTCGGGCTTGGGGGAGTACGAACTCCATCGGAAGAAAAATTTAAGTCATGTGATTGTCTAGGACTCGTAGGTGAACGGCTCCTTGAGGAGTGCTCACTTTTAGTAGAATTTCTGCGTGCAAAAGTCGCAAACAGAGATGGTCGACCCGATTTGAGACTCCTCAAACTAGGAGTGGGACTCGCCGGAGCAGGCGATGATTTGTCGTCTCCTTCTATCATGAAATTCGAGGTAAAAAGGTGTTTATATGTAAGTGTATGAGGTATGTGAATAAAGAATTTAACGTTATTAAGTGTAGTTTAATAATAGTCCACCACTACCTAGAACCCATTGTTCAAAAAGCAAAACATCTAAGGGTACACGTGAACTTTCTTCGCAAAACTGTAACCAGAAAAACAAAAATAATAAAAAACCTTTACGAAAAGGTCATTTATAAACATACCAGGCGCACTATCATAAGATAAATGAGGGGCTTTTTTGCTACTTCTTTTAGGATTCCAGGTCATTATTTTTCGAAAGCCTGGTTTTTGTGGAGGTTGTTGCGATTTTGGAATAGATGTAGTGGCACTCATTTGTATAATCGTTATGATCAGTTTATGTAAAGTTTTATTTTATTATTATTTGAGTCTAAGAGTGTATTTATTTTATAAAAAATTTTGTCAATAGAGGAAAGAATAAAAAAAAAAGTAAAGTTATACAAGTTATACAGCGACCGAAGTTTGTAATATGGCAACATTAGCCATCACACCTATTATCACATTGTGTTGCTATCACCTGATTAAATACGATCGACCGTTTTTTTGTTGGAACAGCATCATTCTCCACCAAAGAACACTACCACATGTTCTCTAAATTCAACCGATTTGAACAATGATAGAAATTAACCCCTTTTAATTAGCCTACGCCTTAATCTAGATTGGAATATATTTCAAGTGACTTAAAAGAAATTAAATATCATAATAAATATTTATTATCAGTTATATAATATATTTAATCGTTTAAAAAAAAAAAAATATGATACACGCAACATGTCGATCCCACGCACCATCGTTTCATATTATTAATATTTATTAATTTTTGAAGCATAGTAGCATAAATTCAATGCAAAAAAGATGATTTTGTAAATGAATAAATGTACTATATATAATTAATTAAATTACGCGTCAATGCGATGATTTGATTTGGTTTTCAGTGAAATAAATACATTCATTTTAATCCGAGATATTTGATCCGCAGTATGGGCAATATCTCATTCGTCCGGAAACATTATTAATCTATTTAATAATAGTAATAAAAATTACAATTCTAACAAAAATCCATTAAACCCATTATCAAAAAAGGGTTTTGCAAAATATCTTACCTCCATACTACAATTGGTACAACGAGTCAACCCCTAGTTTGATAAAGTTTGTTATTATATGCATTGACATACGATATCATGTCACAACAGAATCCTTACCCAAGTTGGCAATGGGGGATTTTGTTGTCCAAGTTCAGTTTCTTCTCTTACTTGTTCTTCGGGTCTAGAAAGCCCTGTCCATTTGCAACGATCACAAATCCATAAATATTTTGCTTTGGACCTCCAGATAGGAATAAAGAACAATGACAATTGATTTTGCACTTTATAAAGATTAACCGTTAGAGCAGGGTCCAAGCAATTTGGACACCTTACGGCTGGAGATGCCATCCTTGAAAGTTTTGGCGCATATGAACCTTATTTTCAAAATACGTTTAGTATTGTCCTTTATGAATAGCATAGATTTTTAAATAATTACTTCATAATCTGTACGCAAAGAAAAAAAACGCGACATTTACCAATAAACTTACCTATACTTACCTATAAAGAGGAAAAAAACCATCTTAAATCTTATTGTATCGCAAAAAGATTAATATCTAACTCGGATTAAAAATATCGTTTGTGTTAAAAATTAAAAAAAAAAATTACTAAGCTTAAGTCGCGTTAATACGTGCTAAAAATAGAATTATTTATCTGGCCAATCAGAGAACCAGTCAAATTCCTCATACCTTATTATGGAGCAATCTATAAATAAATAAACCAATCCCAATGATATATACTTTTTGTTATATATCACACAGTAAAAGTAACTGTCACTTAGCCTCAATAAATGAATTGCAGCGCAAAAAAAATGAAGCATTCAAGTTTTAAGGGTTTCAAATTTATTAATTACAACCGGTTCATTTAAAATTCTGTTATATTATTTTTATTAACAAAATTAAAATAAATTTTATATCAAATGAACAATCTAAAGGGATATCCTGGATTCTTTATTCGGAAAAGTGCGAACAATATACTGGACGATATAATTAAAATTCCCATCCAAATCTAAAAAATAAATAAATCTTTTATTAATATAATAATTATTCAACGAATCAATTTAAAATGAAATTAAAAAAAAATAATTACGTAAACTCCTAAACGTTGTTTCGTTTTGTCCTCAATTTTCGGAACTGAAATGATGAGTGAGACGACACATAAAGCACAGACACCATCTAGATCGATAATAAATGAATTAATTTGTGAAAATTTAAAATCACAACATTCTTTTAAATAAATCTTATATCTTACATATTAAAGCCACGATTTGACTTTCTATGCCTAGTTGATTTGAATAACCATGTGCGACATAATTGACTTTACCGTTATTTAAAGTTATGTAAGGCGCACCTCGAATATGATTCCACATGTGCCCAGAAATCATCATAAGAATAATAACCTATTCCAAAATTGTGAGAATAACGTTAAATAATCTTATAGGGTTTGTTAAGATCTAAAATAATTACCAATGATAGTGCGGTCCATATATTCTTTTTTAAAATTATGCTCTGTATCGTAGGATACATCAACTTAACCACAGCCAGAGCCGCCAGTATAAAGAACGCGGACAAGAAAATGGCAAAATAATTCAAAGGACGGTTAACTGGAACTTCTGTACCCAAATGATGTGATAAAAATGCCGCTACTGATTCAGCGGCAAACCCACTATTCAAAACATAAAAAGATTAAAGAAAAAAATCAACTTTTATCGCGAATTCAACATAACCATGCCTACCGTCTATTGAAATCATATCGATCTTGTTCAAATACTTTTTTAGCATATGGCCCAATCGTTGGCGGAAAATAAAATAATGTTGGAGCATTATTCAGGTTTAGCTAAAAAAAGTTGATTGAATTATTTTTATTATACGAGAAATCTCGATGAAAATTATTTTAAATGATATTTACCCTGGCATAAATTTCTCTACCATTCTTGAAATCCAAAATTCCAAAGTATAAACGCGAAGGATCGTTTCCAGACCATAACCAGCCATTTGCAACTAATCGAAATTCCGGATCGAAATCTCTATCAAATGATTATCATTGTAAATATAAATAATTGAGAAATTTTTATCTTCTAATTTACACGACTTTATAAGGAGTATAAGGAGTCAACAAACTCACCTGCACGGCACACAGTTTATTTGTGGTTCTAGCGCTGTTAATAAAATAGCTATAGAGTAATTCCTCGGTGCGGAAATAATTTCATCGTACAAACTAGAATCGAGTTCAACCACGCCTTGGTTCTTGCGCGTTGCCTCATTAAGTTTTTGCACTTTTGTTTCTAAAGTAGGTTTAGCATTTATGTAAGAAGGCAAAAGGCATGATAAATAAAAGAGTATAAAGATAAAAACAACAAAATTTTTTATCATATTTTCATATTTTAAAGCGAGTAAAAGTCTATTTCGAATATTTTTTTTTGTTATAAGAATAAATCAAATATATAACCAATTAAATCGTTCCAGGTGGACGAAGCTTTTTTAATTTTGTGATTTTTGCGTTAACTTACCCACAATCACGTGAAAATTCGCTAAACCTGGAATCATTGAAAAAAACAAATTGCTATTACATAATTCGACCTTACGATCGTTTAAAAACGAAACAATTTTTTTCTGCCTTTTAAAAAAAATACAAAGTAAGATGCCACCGATAGTAGATTCAGTAAATAAAAGTCCTAGTAACCGCTACGATCCTATCTACACCTCCTCTATTGTAATAGATAAAGTAAAGAAAATAGGAGGATTGCTTAAAAGGAATCTTGAAGTAAATAGTTATCAATCATCCTTTCCATTAACTCCTTTACTAATAATAAAATTTAATTTACTTATTAAAATATATCATTTAATGATTTAGCCAACTGTTAAACCGAGAGCCATTACACCAGCCAATTTTCATAGGCTAGATCATAATACATTCCCTGGCGCTTTTCCGATACTAACACCTAATCAAAAGCAACTTCTCGTTAAATATTTAAATCGTTGGAAAAGTCAAAAGATCATGCAAAATAATAAGGAGACCTTGGCGGAAGAAAAGTTTAATTTGTATTTGAAACGACGTGCAATTTATGTGTGGTACGGTAGATTAAAAGAGAAACAAGTAAGATTTGATATTAAATTATTATTTAATTATTAACTATACCATTTGACGCGATATAGCCACCCAAATTATTTACTAATAAATTAAAAAAAAAATTTTTTTTTTTCTAATCGTATTTAGGTTCAGAAGAGATGGAACAGAAAAAGAAAAAATTTAGCAAACATACCCGAAGATTTTCAACCTCAAAGTATATTAAAACAATCCGATAAGCCAAATGTATGATTATTAAATTATTTTTTAATTTTATATTAATTATTACGACGATTTAACTTATTGATATATTTTCTTATCCTAAAATATTGAAGAGTCCGAAATTTCATCGCAAAATGTTTAGAATTGATCAAAATCAAAATATCAAAACATATTCTTATCCTCACGAAAATGATAATCCAATAGGATATATTGAAATCATTGGAGAAAAAAATTATGTGTATAATGAAGAAGCTCGCAAGGAAGTAAAAAGAGTTTTGGGAATTGGTAATTTCTATGAAGAAAAATATCTATACAAGGCAAGGACAACAAAAGTTTGGAAAATGGCACTTGAACAGTATAGAGAAGGAAAATATGCAGACCAAAAAATATTGAAAAAATTAATGTGATGTGATTATTTCTTATCTCGGAATATCGTATGGTTCAACTTAAAATAATCAATATAAATTTCTTTATTATTTTAAAGACATTATTATTTATATTATCCTTTGGGAAATATACGAATTAACATAAACATCAACCCAGACGTAACGCACACGAATAACACAACCGACCAAACTAACCAAGTAGTCTTGCTGGATTGTGCAGCGTATCTTCCTAATCTACCCCCTTCTCTTTTTAGTCTATCTAAATTACTTCCAAGAACATTTTGAGCTTCATCTATATTCTATTATTCAAATTATAAATTAGTTAATAGATGAATTTTACCAAAAAAAAATCTCATTTTAATTTATATAAACCTTTTCATCTTTTGCTAATATATCTCCAAACGTCACCGAATTCAATTTTAATCTTTCTGCCATTTTTAATAGATTATTCGTAAGTTCCTCTTGCGTTTTTCGGTGATGTTGTAGAACACTTTCGATATTTGTTGTATCTTCGTGATCAAAGGTATTAGTTCTTTATTAACAACAATAAAATTAGATTGTAAGAATAAATAAATAGTAATCAATTTAATAAAATTTTACCTTCGTTGTCTAACTTCAGAACCAGATGCCTCAGAAGAAAATAATTCTATGACACAATTAATAAGAGGAACAAAAGTTTTAAATAATTTGGCAAATCCAACTTAATACATACCACTTCGTTTCTCAGAATAAGTCTGTTTGTCTTTGGGTTCTTTATTAAATGCTTGTGTTGGAGCCTGTGCGGAAAATAAATAAATAAAATAACCATTATATTTAAGAGATATTTTAATACTGATAATAACGGACCTGTAACAATTCTTCCTTTTGTTCCTTTTCAGCTCGTCGAACCATTTTCAGCTCCAATTGATTCTCTTTGTTTTTTTCGGTTTGAGTTTGATTAGCATGGCTTATAAAACGCGCTTGTGAAAATGCGCGAGATACTGGAGATGTCTATAAAATCAATTATTATTATATTAGCTAAAAAAAAAAAAAAAAAAAAGTTAAAGCAATTTATTACCAATTTATTTTCATCAACGATATGTGATAATTGTTGAATCTTACGAGAGTATTCACTAATGGCCGTTTTATCAATCTGTTCACTTTTGAGGGAAAAATCATAAATATTTTGATAAAATTCATTCAATCAAAGTACTTACTTGGTGACGTCTTTTTCGATTTTCTCTAATAATTTATGAAGATATTTTATATTCTAAAAACGAAGGAAATGATAAATTTCATTAAATCTGATATAAAAATAAAAAATAAAAAATAAAAGGACATACCGCTACATATTTCACTTTATCCGGTCCACGTATTAAACTATCTTCTTCTGAAGCTTGTTTCTCACAAACGGCTAAGAGTCTACGAAGATTGACTACTTCTTTTGTTGGAATTTGTGTCGCTGAAAGTGCCATAATGTAGGTTTGATTTATTTTCAAGTGCTGCATGTAACCATAATGTAGATCCTTAATATGGTTTTTTTTTATAATTAAGGATATATATTGATACGTTAATTCCCTTAGATTTGTTTTATAAGTAAATTTGTTATTAATAATTTTAATAATAATAAGTAGTTATTGAAATTTAGGATAAGGAATGAATAAAATCCTTGCTATTATTAGTATCTATAAAACATTATTAATAAAAACAGGATTTAAAGTAATATATATATATTATATATAGAAATTTACAAAATGTATCATAATATATGGGATTAGGACCTTAACATATTTCGACCTAAAAATCATATTTGGTATATAAAAGCAAAATTGATTTTTCCTGACAGTTTCCCCTTTTCTATTTATAATAGTTTTATTTTTTATATAGGTTAAAAGGAAATTACAAAAAAATTAAAATTTTTACTTTATATGCTAAATATGAATTTTATAGTAAAATATGTTCAGATTAAAGTTGTTTAATGAAATCTAGGGTTTAGCCAAATATTTAAATGATAAAGATAAAATTGGTTAAATAATATTAAATCTTATTAAAAATCCGCAAATTTCAAAAAAAGGTAAAATTATATTAAAACTTATAAAAATAGTAAAATTATATTAAAATTTTAATAAAAATTAGTAAAACTAAGGTTTAAATGTTTAGTTAAATCTATAATAAGTTTAGACATACAACATTTAATATTAATTATTTATATTAATAATAAATATACAAATAATAAATCATAATTAAATCTTAAATAATAAATATGTTAAAAAAAAAATAATTAAGATTTTAAAATTAAATATATAAAATTAACAAATAAAATATATGTTAAATAATATTAAATAATAAAAATTGTAATGTATTTTATTTTTGATATAATTATATAAGTAAATTATATTATCATCTACTTATATTTTTATTATTACCTACTTATATTTATAATCTAAATGTTATAGTATGATTGAAATTTATAACCTAAGTATATCATTTAGCTGTAACCTTTATTTAATATTAGTTATTTTTTGATACTTTAGTTTTTATTATTTAAACACTTTTTGTTATATATCAAATATCTTATGTATTTTTGTATAACCCTTCATAATCTAATTACTACTATTATTATATTATCTTACAATACTAACAACTGAAAATTAGTATTAATACAAGATTAACAAATGATTTATTTTTAAGATTTATGAAATAAGATTTTATGAAAAGCTTTAAAGATTAATGTAATCAAAATATAATTCAAAAACAAAGTGTAATTACAAGTTATATAAAAGAATTTATTATAATTGTATTTGTTTTATATAAAAATATTTAGTAATTATCTTATTATCAATAAGATTAAATATATTCTTATTATTACAAAGTTCTAAATATTCTATTTATAAAAAATTTAATAATATAAATAAATAAAATAAAAAATATAAAACTATATAATTGATTATTAATATAATTTAATTATTAATAAAATAAAGTTCTGTATTTCTAGTTCTTCACATATTCTTTACATTTAATATATTTGTCATTTCTTGTATATCTAACATATATGATATATTTAACATTTCACACAGATTTAACATATCATGTATATTTACCAAAATCAGCAGATTTAGTAGTTATTATAGTATAGTAAAATTATGAGATTTATTTTAGCAGATAATTTTTTATTATTTCTTCTATTATGCTATTACTTTATACTTTTGTTTTCTTATTTATTTATGCTCTTCTTATTCACAAAATTTAGTTATACATTAGTGATATTCTACAGCCTTATATTATTAAGTTATTTGCCTATTTTTATATCTTTTGTATTATTTTTATCACTAACTTTTTTATATATGAATCTTTGATAAAATATTTTAGAATTAATAAATTAAATAATTTTACTTTTCTGATTTTAAAAAGCTATTAAGATTTTATTCTAAAGTAATATTTCAAAGTAACGCTGATTTTATAGCACATCCGTTTTGTGTGCCAGGTTGATGACGCAGCTGATCAATATCACAGTCACATCACGTGATCTAAACAAAACTTATGATCATTACGTCGCACTGATAAATATATACATTAAATCATATAAATAACATATCACGCTAGTTTTTTTTGGTTTTTTTTACCACAGATTTTGTGAATTTTAATTTTTTTCAGTTTTTAAAAATTTTAATAGAAATTAATAAAAAATTGTAAAAAACAATTACTAAAAATTTAATAAAGAAATATTGTGAATTTAATAAAAAAATTCAAATATTTAACATCGAATTTGTAAACAAAAATGTAAAATACATTATGAAATTAATAAAAATTTGTATAATCCTATTATTTATAAAAGAAAACAAATGTTATAAATGTCATTATAAATGCTATATGCTATCAAAAATGCTATAAACAATACCTTACTTTAATTCAGCTGATTTTTTTGTATATTTTTGTTCAGATTGTGTCCCTTTCTGCCAGCACTTTTTTTTCTGACTAGGAATCATTTGGGGATCCAAATTTTCTTTATTTTTAATAATAGAAGGTAGCTTTCGCCTACATCCTGATCCCTCTGTCTTGCGACGTTTAATAGATTCAACTTGTATACGAATCATGAAACCACTTCTAATATTAACCGTTAGATCTAAATGGCCATTAAGATCGTAAAGGAAGGTGACTAGCCGAGGGATAGATTTCAATTTAACTGATTTATAACGTTCTTCAAACTTATTTAACGCGGTATGCAGTTGTGCATCGCCGTTTTAGTAGTCTTCTTTTATTTCTTCTAAGAAATCAAAAAATTTGGTTTCCTCAATGTTTTCAACATTTTTTTCATTTGGCTCTCTACAAGATATCGTGTTTTAAGTTAAAATACTTGTAATATAAATGATAAATTATCAAGAAATAGCTTTACAAACCTATATTTAATAATTATGTCCCTTTTTAATTCTTCTATTGTCATTTGCGAATTTTCCTGAGTGAATCCTGCATGTAATGACGCGTAAAAAGAATTGTTTTCTGCGGAATAACCTAAAGGAAAAAAAATAAAAATCAGTAAAAAGAAAAAGAAATTATAAGATCCTTTTTGTTTACTTACCAAGTACGATATAAGCATAAACCATATGGTGATCGAAAGTCAGGGATGGAATAAAATTGAATATTGATAAATGAAATTGAACCAAAACTGCGTCCTGATGTTTACAGGATGCATTAGTCATTCCAATCGGGCAAGTGCAGGTTCCTATTCCACTATTTACAGTATAAAAAAGACCAGCATTTTATACACTCTCCACAAGAAATTCATTTTCTGTATTACCTTTTCGGATGGTATCCATGTTCACGGTATCCCAACCAAGACATAAAAGCGTTTTGCAAGTCACAAATGTCCTGGATGTCTGTGCGCAAAGCTGAGCAACTGAAGTGCATAAAATCTCTCCATATTCATTATAACAAAGTGAAAAACTTGCACACAATTGTATGCCTTCGTTCTTGCAAACACTATATCTTTTAGTATGCCAAAGCTTCTCTCGACATAATTATTAGTGTTATTTTCACGCATATAT